TTTATTATTTTATTTTTTTTTAAGATTTTATTTATTTATTTATTTGTCAGAGAGAAAGAGAGGGAGAACACAAGCAGTCAGAGCAGCAGGCAGAGGCAGAGAGAAGCAGGCTCCCCGCTGAGCAAGGAGCACGATGTGGGACTCGATCCCAGGACCCTGGGATCATGACTTGAGCTGAAGGCAGCGGCTTAACCAACTGAGCCACCCAGGCGTCCCTTGATCTTTTATATAGTAATTAATATGTGCCAGGGCAATGATGGATTGGAATCTATACCAGACTGAAGCATAATGAGTAGATTTTGCTTATATACTTATCACCTATTCTTACTCAACTAGAGTGCGAGATTCATTTAGCTAAACTGAGAGTAGAACCACACTGACCTCAGCTAATTTCAAATTGCTCTTTATTTCCACAAATGTTAAATACTTTTCACAGTTTAAAAAACTATCTGTTTTGGGGCACCTATGTGGTTCAGTTGGTTAAGGGTCTGTCTTCAGCTCAGGTCATGAACCCGTGGTCCCGAGATCCAGCCCCACATTGGGCTTCCTGTGGGGAAGAGCCCATTTCTCCCTCTCCTCCCCACTTGTGCTCTCTTACTATCCCTCTCTCTCTCTTTCTCAAATAAATAAAATCTTTTTAAAAAATAAAAATGAAAAATGATCTGTTTTGAATGTAAAGTTGACAAATCTTGAAATTAAAAAGGCAAAATACGTATAGGAGCCAAAATTGTAAATGAAATATTTGGGAAGTGAAGACGAGAAGCTTACCTTAAATTCAGAAAAACTTTTATACTCTTTCTGCAAATACTTTAAAAACAAACAAACAAACAAAAACCTGATTCAGAATTGTCATATTTGGACACTTTCTGTTAGTATTTTTAGATAGTTTGAACCCGGTCCTGAGCCTAAGGTGGGCTTGAGTCAGAAAAGTAAATACTTTCACAACTGCCTAGATACAAAGAAAGCTTTTAAAACTAGACATTCTCAGTCTTTTGTTCACATGGCCATACACTGATACTTAGATGTTAAAATATTTAATATAGCCACAGTAGTCTTGATAACCAAAGTCGTTTTTTCCCGTCTTTAGGAACCTATACTGCAACAACCATATTCAGCAAATCTCTAGCTACTGTGTGTGTGAATAAACATTCTACTGGATTTCATTCCTGAATGCTGTACACCTATTTTGGATTGTATATTGTGTTTGTGTATTTATGCTTGGGTTCATTGTAATTTCTCATGTTTTGGAATTGACTTGCTTTGAACACAAACTGTAAATAAAAAGAAATGGTTGAAAGAACAAAAAAGGATGTTGATTAGGATTAAACTGAAGTTATACAGTTATTTGGAAGGGGAGATTAACATTTTTCTAGTATTTAGTAATTTATCTCAAGAATATAATATGCTTTCATTTTTAATTTCAATTTTTTAATTAAATTTTAGTTAACATATAGTGTAATGTTAGTTTCGGAAGTAGAATTTACTGACTCATCACTTATATATAACACCCACCATCCATGGCAACAAGTGCCCTCCTTAATTCCCATCAACCATTTAACTCATCCCTCTGCCCACCTCCCCTCCAGCAAAACCTGTTTTTTCCTCTATAGTTAAGAGTTTGTTTTATGGTTTGCCTCTCTCTCTTCTTCCCCTTATGTTCATCTGTTTCATTTCTTAAATTCCACATATGAGTGAAATGATCATTATGCTCTTTAGTACACTTCTATAATTTATTTCATATAGTTTTTACACATTTCAGGTAGATGTATTCTTAGGCATTCTGTATATTTTGAGGATCTTATATATAGGATCTTTTAAAATGCAATGTTGACATTTCATTTCTTATTTGCTTTAAAACACATTTAATGGTTGCATCTTAATCTTATATTCTTCCAGCATACTGAAATGGTTTATACAATGTTTTTTTTTCCCCAGTGGATTTTTCAAAATGTACTTTTTTCTTTTTTACAAATGACACTTTTGGTTTTTTGTTATACTACTTATTTCTTATTCATATTTTGTTCCATTTGCTAAGTACAACAGTACAATGTTTTACAGTACCTATGTTAGAGGACATTTTTGCCTTTATTTACTTTAATAGCTATGCTCTTACTATCTTTTCATTAAGTATTTGTCCTTTTTGAAGCAGAGCTCTTTTGGTCAAGGAAATACCTTCTATTCATACCTCGACCAAAGTTTTATCAGAAATGACCATTGGAATGCAAGTTGGCACAGCCACTTTGGAAAATAGTGGGGAGGTTCCTCAGAAAATCAAAATAGAGCTAACCTATGATCCAGCAATTGAACTACTGGGTATTTACCCCAAAGATACAGATGTAGTGAAAAGAAGGGCCATATGCACCCCAGTGTTCATAGCAGCAATGTGCATAATAGCCAAACTCTGGAAAGAGCCCAGATGCCCTTCAACAGACAAATGGATAAAGAAGATGTGGTCCATAGGTACAATGGAATATTACTCAGCCATCAGAAAGGAAGAATCCCAGCTTTTGCATCAACATGGATGGGACTGGAGGAGATTATGCCAAGTGAAATAAGTCAAGCAGAGAAAGTCAATTATTAAATGGTTTCACTTACTTGCAGAACATAAGGAAGAGCATAGAGGACATTAAGAGAAGGAAGTGAAAAATGAAGGAGGGTGGGAATCGGAGGAGGGGATGAACCATGAGAAACTGTAGACTCTGAGAAACAAATTGAGGGTTTTAGAGGGGAGGCATGTGGGGTGATGGGTTGGCCCAGTGATGGGTATTAAAGAGGGCACAGATTGCATGGAACACTGGGCGTTACACGTAAACGGTGAATCTTGGAACACTACATCAAAAACTAATGACGTACTGTATGGTGACTAACATAACATAATAAAAAATAATTTTAAAAATATCAACAGCACCATTTACTACTAATAAAAATAAGACTACCAAATCCTTTTAAAGAAAGAAAGAAAATAAATGACTGTTTAATTTTTTAAATTTTCTGTCATTTTTTGATCATGAAAATTTTCTGTTAATGTAGCTGATTGTCTTAATAAAATCTTATTCTTTAAAATACAGAAAAGAGGGGCACCTGGGTGGCTCGGTCGGTTAAGCTTCTGTCTTTGGCTCAGGTCATGATCTCAGGGTCCTGGGATGGAGCCCCACATCAGGCTCTCTGCTCAGCGGGGGGCCTGCTTCTCCCTCTCTCTCTGCCTGCCTCTCTGCCTACTTGTGATCTCTCTGTCAAGTAAATAAATAAAATCTTTTAAAAAAATACAGAAAAGAACAATGAATACTATAACAAATGCCCATAAGGTCTCTGCAAAACAACAACAACAACAACAACAACAAAACCTTTTAACATATTAACACATTTTTCCAGGTGCTTTTTCCAACTTTATGCTCTAAGTAAATCACACAAGAAATATCTCTGTTCACAGTTGGCATGATTTTATATATAGAAAATCCTAAGGAATCCATTAAAAAAAACTATTAGAACTAATAAAGAAGCTCAGCAAATTTCAGGACACAAGATCAACATGTAAAATTTTTATAATTTTCCATTGCTAGTTGCTCACCTCAAATAAGCTTACCTACATAGACATATATGCATGGAAGAATCTGGGGAAAAGGGAATTCAGTGTTTGTTAACTGCTCTAGGATTCAGTACCTGTTTTCAGGACACAGGTGCATATATTCAAATAACAACATTGGTGAACACTTGGTATGTGCTGGGCACCATTCGTGTGCTTTCCATGTATTAAAGCATTAATGTGTTAGCTTATCAACACATAGTCACAGAGAGTATTATCATTCCCTTTTCACAACTGAGAAAACTGAGGTAGAGAGTAGTTAAGTAACTTGGTCACATACATAGATTAGCAAAACCAAGATTATGTATTTTCTTTCCTCAAAAGAGAGCTGAAAGAGTTTCTTTGAAGAGGAGGTGAAGAAGAGCACCAGAACCAAGCTAAAAAAGAAAAGAGCTACAAGAACCAAGTCAGGTACTTGGGTGCAGTCGGTTAAGCATGAGACTGTTGGTTTCCATGTAGGTTGCAATGTCAGGGTTCTGAGACCTGGTACTGGTATTGGCTCTGTGCTCAGCAGGGAGTCTGCTTGGGATTCTCTCTCTCCCTGTGCCTGGCCTCCACGCTCCCCCACCCCCCATCTCTTTTTCTCTCTCTCCCTGTCTCCGAAATAAATAAATCTTAAGAAGGAAGGAAGGAAGGAAGGAAGGAAAGAAAGAAAGAAAGAAAGAAAGGGTAAATGAGTCTTTCCTCTCGCTCCTCCCCTAGCTAGCTGTGTGACCTTGGATGGACAATTTATTTCTCTAAAACTCTGGCTCTTCATCTATTTAAAAAAAAAAGAAGAAGAAGAAGAAGAAAAAAAGGAAGTTGGACTAAGTGAAAGCTAAGGCTCCCACTACCTCTTATTCTCTTACACCAGTCTTACATTGTGCCTGATTTCTGATTTACAAACCTTTCCTCTTTCCCAGACACAAGGGGAAAGAAGAGGGCCAGGGGAGGACAGCCACTTACTTGTCATGACAAGAAATAGGAGAAACAGAAACAGGACCGCATGTCGCTTGCACAAGTTGCTGCTTCAGCCAGTGATGGGTTTAGATGAAAAGCACAGTTATAATTAGAGCGGCCTGAATGCTCCACCAGCCACAGTGAGCACAGCTGGATCTGCTGACTGCACGCACACGAGTCTGAGTGGCCACTCTGGCCTTGAAAATGATCCTTCTTAAATGGATTTTCCCCCTTCCTCAAGGGAGAGAAAGCCTATTGATATAAAAGCTCACTTCCCTTCCGGCTTCCTCCTGCTAAACGCTGCCCCAGTGGAGACCAAGTGTTGATAAATACGGGAGAAAGAAAAAAAAATTCGTAAGCTGAGCCTGGTCACATTGCCCCTTGTGATATAGTTTTATTTTTAACTTCGAAACACTTCAACTATTTCTGCTGAAGTTTTCTCTGCTTCCCCTGCTTCCTTAACAGAACTCTGTCCTCCGCTGCCGCGGATGCACCCCAGCCACTTCTTGCGATCCCAGCCACACAGTCAACGGACACAGGTGCAGCAGATGCTGACTCAGCCCGTGCAATCAAGGTAAGCCTTTCAAAGGGGAGCAGGTGAACCAAGGGGGCGTTTGGAGTGGTGAACGTGGAGATAGAGGCTGGGCTGTGCATCACCTTTTTGCTCTGAGCAAGAAGATGGTTAAGCAAATTAGTTACCTGTGGTGGAGAAAGCAGCTGGCTCTGAGAATAAGACCCAGCCATATGGAAACTCTTGTTTTAAATCTAAAATGTTGGAGCAGGAAGAAATTACCTGCTTTCAGGCAGCTTACATTCTTTCTTTTACAACCAACAGAACGGGGCTATCTGAGCTCTCTAAAGTTACACAGTAGAGACGGGGGCTTGGGGAGGGCGGAGGAGGTGGTGAGGAGGTAGGTGGAAGGGCTAGAACCCAGGATTTCTATTTTTTAAACTCCAAATGCTGTGATCTTTTCATGGATATACATTGACTGTGTTAACTGCAAGTCATTCTTGCGTGCACATCATTTTATGTACCTTAAATTCCAACCCCCGTGTCACGCTTCTGGTTAACGGGGCACATTATATTCACTGCATGCACTGTTTACACTTAGTCTGTAGAGCGTAAGATCTGTTTTTCTCTAACAATATTCCCTAAATGTGGCTCTCTCCTTCCCAAATCTATGGACTCCAAAATGCACCCAGAGAATAGAAGTGCAAATATTTTACAAATTGAAAAACTTACACAGGCTTTTGCATGCAAACCAAAAATTATTACAGGCTTGAAGCTTGTACATCCAGAGGGAAAAAAGGAAAATGATTAATGATACTTGAGGTATTGAAAGCTTTAAAATGTAGGTTATTTCTAGTTTTTAAAATAACTGCATAGTGTTACATGCACAAATAAATTGTCAGGGATAAGTGAGCAGTGTTTATCTTCTTGTTTTCCTCTCGGCCTCGCTTTAATGTTTATAGTTCAGCTAAGGACATCCTAGGAAGTGGCCTATGCAGCAAAAGGGATTCTGTACACTCTGAACTTTGCGGTCTACAGGCTAAAGCCACCAATGCCAAGTAAAAGGAGACCTACCCAGATACCCTAACTCCTGGATTCCTTCCTTTCTGCCTCTGTAACCTCCAGACATATCCCATAACTGTGCTGTGGATGCCTAGGTTATAATTATGCTGGTTTGCTAGGCACAGTGCATTGGGTATAATTGCCTAACTTCATTTAATTTTGTCAGGGTTTTCATGGCACCAAGGTCTTCAAGGTATATGCTGGGATGCTGTCCTAGTGAGACTGGGGCATGTTGATTTAGGATAGCCAAGCAGACAGGCTGACTCATAGCTACCCCTAGATAATCTGGCTAATTAGCACTTTCTTGGCCAATACAAAATATTAATTTAAAATACCGATACTAATAACAGAAGCACCATATATGAGAATTAACTAGGATATAATGAAAATGCAGGAATCATTGCCTAGAAGCCCAAGATTATGGACCCAGATGTGGAAATTATCATCAGCCAACTGCTTGTGTTAAAATCTCGAGCAAAGGGATTGTTTTAGTATTTCACTTTATACATTTTCTTTCCTTAGAACTAAATATCATCATAGCAGGGAAACAATTTAACAATATATAATTAAAGTAACTAATTAATTGGCTGGGCAATAGATTAAGAGCTAAAGAATATCTCTGATCTTTAACTTTTGACCTTGTCACTTCCACTGAAGTTAAAGCTCAGGAATAAATAATTATCACCAGGGCCAACCACATGAGGAGGCAAAATAGTTGCTGACATCATGTGAAGGTTGCTGAAAGGGTCCCTTGCCTAAAAATATCTCCCTGACATCAACCCTGTTTGCCTACTAATTTTAAAATTATAGTAAAGAATGTTAAAGCTATTATCTGTTAATCCCATTCTCTTTTGCTTGTGTCAGTGATTTAAATATATTTGCTATATGCCTTCTCATGACCTTGTTGGCCAGTGACACTCAGGCTCCACCTCTTCCTCATTCTTCCAGGCTCTGCCCTATTTTGCCCTTGGTACCATCTAAGCTCCCCCCATGCCCTTGGCCACCACCCCTACACAGGTAGCTCTGTGTGGCATGTGGTTTCCAAAGAATTCTCACTATTACATCAAGGTGAGAAGCAAAGTCAAGACACTTTACCTCTCTGGGCCTCAGTTTCTCTTGCAGTAAACGAAGAGGTTAAACTAGACACTTTCCTTTCAAAGGGAGGTCCTTTGACCATCAACTTTGCCTGGAGCATGTTATGGATGGGAAGACTCTCAGACCACACCCCCATTCTGCCAGATTAGAATCTGCATTTTAAAAAGATTGCCCAGGTGATTCCTATATACGTTGAAGATTCAGGAGCTCCAGAGCAGAGGATCTGTGGTTATGCACCTGACCCAGACTTCTGATTTATGACTGTAAGGGTTTCGAACAAGTGCTATAACCTCCTGAAAACAATTCTGGCAGCTGAGTGTCTATTATAACTTGAACCCGAAGAAGTCTTTTCCATTCAGTTAATGCTTCATTTACCTTATAACATTGAAAACATTTCTCTTTCTTCCTTTTTTTTTTCCAAAGTTTTTTTTTTATTAATTTTATTTTTTTTAAACATATAATATATTTTTATCCCCAGGGGTAAAGGTCTGTGAATCGCCAGGTTTACACATTTCACAGCACTCACCATAGCACATACCCTCCCCAATGTCCATAACCCCCCCCCCCCCCACCCCCCCCCCCTTTTTTTTCCTTAAAAAAAAAAAAAAAAAAAAAAAGGCCCCAGGGGGGTGCCTAGGTGGTTCAGTAGGTTAAGCTTTGGAGTCCTGATTTCTACTCAGGTCATGATATCAGGGTCATGGGATTGAGCCCCACGTCGAGGTCCAGCTCATGCTGAGCATGGAACCTACTTGGGATTCTCTCTCTCCTTCTCCCTCTACCCACCCAACCACACTCGAATGCATGTGCTTTCTCTCTAAAAAGAAAAAAAAAAGCCCCAAATTAGCATACATTTGACATCATTACACTTTCCTCCTAAATTTGTTTCAAATTGGTCTCACAGCTCTCTCAAAATGCTGCTTTCTTTAGGGTTCTATTCAATTTCATTCATTTCAATGCTATTGAATAAACATTCAGTGCTAGGAGCACCTTAGATGTACTCACTCTCTCAGCCTCTCAGAAACTATTTTGTACATTCTTTGGGGAGCATTTTTGTTCTCCCTTGATATTCCAGTCAGAGCTCTTTTCCTGCCTGAATACACTCTCCTGGCTGGGTAATTTCTGCTTCATTTATGGCCTTCATCCCTGAGCACACCATCCCAGGAACTTCCCTTTGGAGGAACTGATTCTGCAGCCCATCACAAGAAAGAAGCCAATTTCAACTGACACCTTCCTTTTTTTCCTTAATGAACAGAATAATGTATGTAGGGAAATAATAAAAATGACAAACCTGCACCTAGGAAACAAAGATGCCTCAATCTGCCTCTGTGGCATCTGAAGGATCCTCCAGCCTGGATGCAGTACTATTTGAGTTCCTAGGAGCTGAAGGAATGAATGTGGTGAATACAAGGTGCCCAAGTGGGGCGAGTTCAGGGGGACTCACACTCTTAAAGGAGTAAGACTTTTCTTAAATGGGGTTTGAAGATTATTAACCTGGCAGTGGAATATAAGATACATTGGAGCGAGGGAGAACTGGACATGGAAAGGCCAGCCAAGACCTGCATGAGTGATGCAATGGGAAGACAAAAAGACCTGGACATGGAGGTGACCATGAGAATGACCTTCCTCTTTGGGGAAGGATGAACAACTGAGTGACCCTTTCCCTACTTTATCTCATTTGTCATAATCCTATGGGTTATTATGAACTGCACTTTATGGATGAATAAATTAGCTTTAGGGAGATTAACTTGTCAAAAAATACATAGCTAACACATGAGAGTGTTCGTTAGTTTACTTTATATTGGGAGTGTCAGATAAGGTCTCTTGTGGAGGTAACATATCAGCTGAAATCTGAAGAGCAAGAAGGAGCCCATAACACAAAGAGGAAGGGGTGAATTTTGGTAGAAAGAACAAGCATAAAGGCCCTACACAGGAATAAGTGACAATGCTGGAGCAAAGTGCTCAAGGGTAAGGTGAGGTAGAGGAGGCCAGCAGTGGACCGCATCGGAGGGGACACTCATGCAGGGCCTTGTGGACCAAGATAAGGAGTCAGAGTTTATTCCTTGTGATGGGAATCCACTGGAGATATAGGAAATAGTGACCTAGTGTTAAAATTGTTGAAATCTTTCTCAAACTCCACATATGACTGGAATCATAGGGCATTTGTCTTTCTCTGACTGACTTATTTTGCTTAACGTAATACAATCTAGCTCCATCCACATTGTTCAAATGGCAGGATTTCATTTTTTGATGACTGAGTAATATTCCATTGTGTATATATATTTACCACATCTTCTTTACCCAATTATAAGTTGATGGACAGTTGAGCTCTAAAGGAAAAAAAAAAGGAAAGAAGGAAACAAGCCATAAGAGACTCTTAACGATAGAGAATAAACCGAGGGTTGATGGTGAGAAGTGGATAGGGGATGGGCTAGATAGATGGGTGATGGGTATTAAAGAGGGCACTTGTTTTGATGAGCACTGGGTGTTGTATATAAATGATGAATCACTGAACTCTACTCCTGAAACCAAATTTGCACTGTATGTTAACTAAAATTTTTTTTAAAAAGTTGTTGAAATCACTCCTGCTGGTGAATATAGATTACTGAGCACTAGATGGGAGGGGTGAGACTAATTATAGTCTTTTGCACCAGAGTGGATAAGGAATGATGGTGCTTGGACCCAGGCAGTGGTGGTAGAGATGGAAAGAAATGGACAGAAGTTCCCAATGCCCTTTTGGGACTTTCCCCAAGGCCTTCCTACCTAACTTATTCCTATGTAGGGCCCTGTGCTAGATCTTTTGTGATTGGGAGCACAAAATTGACCAGATTCTAGCTCAGTGGTTCTTAAGCTTGAGTTTACAACAGCATCAGTTGGATGTAGTTGTTCTGATTCAATAGCTCTGATTT